CCCACCTCCCTCCTCCTCCTCCTCCTCCTTCTCCTCCTCTTCCTCCGCCTCCTCCTCCCCATCCTCCTCCTGGGCAACATGGGGAATCTGGAAAGGTCTAGGTTTACACAGTGTGCAACATAGACAAAACGATAAACATTTGCACTCCCCACCCCTCCTCCTGGCCTCCTGCAGACGCCTGGCCAACTTTCCCAATGGGGTCCTATCCAGGGGGGGGGAGCCAGGCAACTTCTGACACCGCTGGGCATCGGCAGGCGGCCGCTGAGGAGGGTCCGAAGCTCTTTGGATTTCGGGTTGGGGGTGCACCTCAGTCCAAGACGTAGGGCCTTGAGATTCCCGTCGGCCCCGCACGCTGCACAGAAGAGGACCAGGGTGCCCTGAGGCACCGTCCAAGACACATGCAGCTTGTGGGAGCTACCATCGGGAGCCTCAAAGACCCTGAACAGTGACGGGTTGAGCTCCCCTCGGCATTCAAACCGCGTCTTGGGGCTGACCCTTCTCACACAAAACTCGCATCTCCAGTGGTCGCCGTTCCAATAAAGCGTGTGCGGGTCTGTAGGCGCACGACTCCCCCTTGGACCCACACTCCCCTTATTGAGGTCCCTGAACAATTCTCCAGGGGTCGGCCACTCAACAAGGACCAAAGCCATGGATGTGCACAACTTATAGTACTGCTTGACAGTGTGTAAAATATCTTCGGCCTGGAGCGGTGCAACATCATGAATCTGGGCCCCTTGGCCTGCCAGCCAATCAGCGCACTTGTTGCCTCTGATCGCAGCAAGATCCTCAGGGTCTGCAGCTTCATCCTCGCTCCTATGGGTCTTAACTTTCTTGAGGTTGAACCAGCCGTCAGAAATGTCTGCCGATATCTTCCTGAAGGAGTGGGCTCCTAGAGCGTTGTGGGCCAGAGCAGCTTGGGAGTTGAAGCCTGCTCTGAGCAACGCCTGGCAATGTACAATTAGCCTGGCTGGCAAACCTCCTTGGGCATGTATAGCTCCGACCACGAGGCCAGCTCTCTGCCCGTCCCCAAACATTTGGCAGAACAGTTTGGGGACAAGGCCAAACACTTCACGATAACAACCTCCCTGAGCATCCAATTCGCGAACTCCGAAACCAGCCCTGGCAAGGTTCCCTAGGGTGGGTCGAATGCAACTGTCATCTGAGTACAACGTAGCTCGATGGAACAACTCGAACTGACCGCATGGGCCTGTGGCGTCTTTATTATAATAAAGCTCCCAATCCGCTGCAAGGTCTGGGACGTCGAATTTAGGTAGCCAAGCGCGGGAAACAATGGAAACTCTGCTCGTCAACTTCTCGCGCATCCTGGAGCATCCCAGGCGAACCAACTTCATTCCGTTGTTTGTCGCATGTGGGCACTCCCAACACCTATGGGACGTGGTGTCAGGCCCGCCACGAAACGTACATTGGATCTGAGCCGAGTACCCCCACTTGCGGAGGTTCTGGGCGGTATGGACAGCTCCTCCCATCGCATGCTTCAGCACTGAGACAGAATGAGTTGGCAACCTGTGTGCCGAGCGCAGGACACGAGCCATCGCTCTTGGAGGGCAGGGGATTCAGGGCATGGGTGGCGATCTAAAACCTTCCTAGCTGCAGCTTGGATCTTAGCATCCTTGAGCTGCTCGACGAACCTGGCTGCAACATAGACTTACATCAAATTCAAGTTAGTTCTTGTGCCTGTCTATGAGGATAGGTGGGGTCTTGAACTCCCAACCACCTTCATGGACCCAAGCTATCGTGTCAGCCATCGGGTCCTTGTTATGCTTAAACTGCTGGCGATTGCTCGGTGGCACAGCGGGTTGCTGGGCAGCAGCAGCACGGTAAAGCTTGGTTAATAGCTCGGGCGAGAAACCATATGCATGCCTCCTCTGCAGGTCAATTCTCTGAATAATGGCTTGTCGCCACTCTGCCGCGTATCTACGGATTGTGCTGCCAGCAACTTCCTGTGGGTCTTTGCAGTCAGACAAACCCCACGCTAAGTCCGAGTCGACCCCCCGAATCGAAATCCAACTGGCTGCTGCGGTAGTCTGTCTGAGACAGGAAACTCCTCCTCCTCCTGCTCCTGCGCCTGCTCCTGCTCCTCCTCCTCCTCCTCCTCCTCCTCCTCCTCCTCCTTCTCCCCTCTCTCCTCCTCCCCTCTCTCTCCTCCCTCCTCCTCTCCTCTCCTCCCTCCTCTCCTCCTCCTCTCCTCCTCCTCCTCCTCCTCCTTGTTCCTCCTCCTCCTCCCGCCGCGGGGCCGCGGCCGCGCGGGGGGCCCCCCGCGTGGGCGCCAGGGCCATCTCTCCCAGAGCCGAGGGGCCCTCCAGCTCGCCGATGGCGGCACCGTCGATCTCCAGGGCGACCTGGGGCGCCCCTTCCCAGGAGGAGGAGGAGGAGGAGGAGGAGGAGGAGGAGGAGGAAGAGGATCGAGAGGGGGAGGAGGATGATGATGACGATGAGGAGTAGGAGAAGGAGGAGGAGGAGGAGGAGGAGGAGGAGGAGGAGGAGGAGGATTAGGATTAGGATCAGGAGGAGCAGGAGCAGGAGCAGGAGCAGGAGGAGGAGGAGGAGCAGGAGCAGGAGCAGGAGGAGGAGGAGCAGGAGCAGGAGCAGGGGAAACTCACTTCTCCAGACACCTTGTGCCCGGTGGCTTGGGCGGTGATGTTTACACTGGGTGCATATTCCCTCTGCGCTACGAGTGGCAGCAGTGCGCATGGTGACACACACACACACACAACTATCCCGTCGCAGGGCACGTGTCCAAGTACTTGGCCCTGGCTGGGCGCGCCTCGCAGGGGTCTCAACGAGCGACAAGCCTGCGTGCGCTCGTCTCTCGGCGCGCACGAGAAGTTTAAAATTAAACCACGAGCTGCTGCCTCGCCCGGCGGTCAAAAGCTGGTCGCCGGGGCGCTGGCCGCGTCCTGCGGCAGACCGGCAGCGACTGACGGCGCTGCCGGGTGACTCGAGGGCATTGCATGACCAGCGAGGCGGCGGCCACGGCGTGCGGAGCCTGCCGAGGTGCGGCACGCACGGCCAGCGGGTCTCCGGGCGGAAGCGGGCTCCGGAGACGCAGGTCGGCGGCGAGCCCGGGGGGGGCGTGCGAAGGGGCGGGCCTTCCCAGGAGGCTCGGAAGTCCACCGGCCTTCTGGCAAGTTTTCTCGGCCTTCCCCGAAGACGCAGAAAACCTCGCAGAAGACGCGAGGGCTTCTGAGAAGTCCCGCCGCCTTCTGAGAAGGCCTTCTCCTTCTCACTTTGCCCCCACTCCCACTGTCGATCAAAGGGAGGAACGCCCACCGAACACAGCGGCGCAGCAAAAAGCGCCAGCCGCGCACGCCAGGAAGGTCCTGAAGTACCAGTTGCACTATGTCTGGCAAGTCAGACGAACTGTGCCGCAGAGGGTAGCAGAAGCCCTGCAATATGCACTCTGGCATGCAGTTGCAAGGGAGGGGTGCATGAGGAAGCGCAGCAAGACGAGGGTCTCACGTCGACGACACCTGATGATCCCGCTGCCTTGACTGGTGCCTCTCCAGGATCTCTAACAAAGTCATGCATATCGCATTGCTGGTGACTTCGTCCAGTGACAAGTCGTTCGAGTCGTGTCCGAATGGATTCTCAATGTCCACACAAATTTCGTCCAGGTTGAACAAGCAGTACGCAGCGAACATACAAGCAGGTATTGCGACCCACTCGAACAATTCGACAGCACAGAATGGCAAAAACCAAGAGCCAAAATATCAAAGACGCGCAAATAGAACGTGTAAGCGAACGGCATCTTCGTGTTCATGATACGCTCGCAGGCACCGGGCTCACCTTCGTATTGAGTCAAATTATGGTCTAGCCTAAGCGTGCCAATATCACTCAGCAAGCCCGTGGCGTTGGCAGAGGCGACTGTCTGTGACAGAACCTCGATGACGAAATTCGACATGTGCTTTGCATCGCTTATGTCGGGAACTTGCGCCTCTGACAACACACTCATATCATCTCATATTCACAAGGTCGCAACTGAACTTTTGGTGGCAACTGCGAATGCAAACGTGTATCGCACGATGCGTTCGACGTGAGTGTCGTCGCCTACGTGTACGAGACCGCCTGCTTCGCAAAGGTGCGGTTACTGATCGTGCCCCAAATTCTTGCGCCCATCCCACCACCGTTCGTAGGCCGCGTTCGTCTCGGAGACCAACACAAGTGAACAGTGCTGGAGCGGCTAGGACGGCGAATGAGCTGTCCAGGCAGATCTGCGACCTGTCGCCCTCGTCCAGGGTGACCAACATCGCGAAGGCCATCGACACAACAACGTGAACGAGAAACAATGCCAACATCCTCAACAGAGCTGGCCTGCCGTGGTACGCCAACGCCGTCTCCATCCAGTACAGTCAACATGTGTATCTAAGGACAGGTGGTAAGGACGCAAGACCCTTGGAGGCCGGAGTTGAGTTTTTTTCGGCAGCGGGCGACCAAATACCCATAGCGCAAGGGTGCATTGACCCAGGAATGATGGGCCTGTTTTCCACCACCACCACCATAAGTTGGAGGGGGAGGAGGTCCTCTTCCTCTTCCTCCTCCTCCTCCTCCTCTTCGTCCTCCTCCTCCTTTTCCCCTCCAACTTATGGTAGTGGTGGTGGAAAACAGGCCCATCAAGGAAGAGGCCCGTGAAAACGGCAACGGACGGGCCGCAGGCCGCAGAGGCGAGGGCACAGGGGCACTCCAGATGAAGGCGCGCGTTCTTCTCCTTGTGCGCGTTGGCTGTACTCCTTCCCCGCCGAGCTCATCGGGAGGACGCCCTCGCCGCCCACGCGGCTCGTGTGCTCCTGCCGGCCGCCCCCCGCGCAGCCCGCGTGCCCCGGGCGAGTGGCCGGCTGCTTGGGGGCGGGGCCGACGGGGACCTGCCTCGCCTGGCCCGCCTGGCCCTCCACTCCACCGCACGCGTGGCTCTGGATAGGCACGGCGCCGTGACGGCTGGCATCTAAAGCGAGCCCACCAGAGGACGTACGCGCCCAACCGCGTACCTGAGCACGGCCCCGCGATCCGCGAGAGTGGCCGCGTGATAATACGAACGTTCGCGCAACGGATACCTTCGAAACCAACGCGGATCCGTGCCCGCGTGCGTCGACGCACGCGGGCACGGAGGAGGCGGGAAGGCCAGAAGGATCCTTCTGTGCCTCCCTGGCAGGAAGGCCAGGCGGGCGGTGCCTCGCCCGAGCGGGAGGAGCGCGGGCCGCAGCGCCGACGGGCGCGCTCGGTGGCTCCCCGAGATAATATTCCCGGGGCGGGGGCGGTCCCCTCGAGCTGCTGTGGGTGCGCCCTCTCGTCAAGACGTGGTCCCTGCCCCCCTGGGCCGGAGCGGGGAGGTCGTGACTTCTTCATGCGTACAGGTGCTGGGGAAGGCAAGGGCCAGACAGCACCAGCGTGCTCCCCCGCTGGAGCTGGCTCCGGCGCCGGTGTCGGCTGGTGCCGTGTGTTGCAGGTGTCTTGGTCGTCTTGTTCGGGTGCTGGGCTCCCGTCGATGAGATGAAGTCGGACTCCTTGCTCATCCGGGGCGGTTGCGTCGGAAGCTACGTGGAGCCGGCTTGGGCTCGTCTGGAGCAGGCTACGGAAATCGGAGCACCCGGCTTTGACAATGCGTTCGGCTTCCGGGGGCACTCGACGGGCCCCGGGGCGGGTGGGAAACTGCTCAGGGAGCTGCTCAGGGCGACAAGCTGGCCCTGCGGGAGTGGTCCAGACCTCCCGGGGCTCGCGCCTCGAAGAGAATGGAGCGGTGGGATGTCTGGGGGGGAGGCCCTATAGATCCCAGGAGTCTCGCGCCGCCCCCGACGGGACGAGCGCAGGACAGGATACGCGCAGAGCCTCTGGGAACTCAGGCGTGGAGGATGTACCTGGACGAGGAAACCAATCCCCCCCCCGCCGGGGACACCTTGGCCCCGCTGGGCAATGCAATCCCCCTTGAGGCGGGGATGGGTATCGTCTCCTTCGGGTGTCCGGGCACCCATCCCCACCCACAGGGGCAATTACGCTGGAAGAGGCAAGTTACCCTGCCCCAGAGGGCGTGGGGATGGTTCCGACGATGATCAACGTATGCGGCGCAACGGCTGGTCGTTTTCGCCGCCATCCCAGACCCCCAGACACCCGACGCCGTGATATTTTCACAACGTCGACCCCCAAACTGTCTCAACCCCCTCCCAGGGACCGGCTCTTCATCCCTGCTCGTTCTCTGACGGTCCCAGGGCCCAGGAAGAGCCTCCGGAGGCCGAAAATGGCGAAAAGCTTCCGTTTTTGTGATTTTTGTTCACAGCGCGAGGAAGTCTGGGATCGTTAGGTGTGCAAGGCCAGAACCATAATTTAGTAATTGTTGTGTGCGTGTGTGTGTGGTTTTTGTATTTTGTTTTTTTTTTATATGTTCCGTCCGGTGTTTTTTTGTGTGTGTGTGTGTGTGTTATTGTGTTATGTTGTGTGTTGTGTTGTGTTGTTGCTGTTTTGTGTTTTGTTGTGTGTTGTGTGTTGTGTTTTGTTGTGTGTGCGTGTTGTGTTGTCTTGTGTGTTGTGCCCCTGAAGCGCTCTCCACGGGCCCCCGGGGGCTGTCAGAAGGCGGCCCATGGCTGGAGGGCCGTTCCCAGGGTCGGGGGCCCGCTGCCCTCGGGGCCCGCTTCCACCCCACGGCGGTGGCCTGCCCTGGGGGTCGAGGGGGGGGAGGAGGGAGGAGGAGGAGGAGGAGGGAGAAGGAGGGAGGAGGAGGGAGGAGGACGGAGGAGGAGGAGGGGGAGAGGAGGAGGAGGAGGAGGAGGAGGAGGACGAGGGAGGCGGAGGGAGGAGAAGGAGGGAAGGAGGAGGAGGAGGGAGGAGGACCAGTGTAACCCACGGCGGCGGCCTGCCTGGGGGTCGAGGGGGGGAGGAGGGAGGAGGAGGAGGAGGAGGAGGAGGAGGAGGAGGAGGTGGAGGAGGGAGAAGGAGGAGCGAGGAGGGAGGAGGAGGAGGAAGGAGGAGGAGGAGGAGGAGGAGGAGGGGGAGGAGGAGGAAGAGGAGGAGAAGGACCAGTGTAAGCCCAAGGGCCATCAACGATGTTGGAATGAACCCTCCCACCAAGCTCCCTCTTCATAGGCCCCTACAACGGTGCATTTCCACTGTGGGAACTGAATCGTTGCAAGACAATCGTTTGAACACCCTGAAGCATGCCAAAACATGGTTCTCGGGATTCCAACGCCGCGGAACTACCTGACTGTTGCGTCTTGACGATCCTGAATCGCGCTAGAACGCCATTCCTGGGACTTCAACACCGTGAACCAACGCAACTGCTGTACCCTTATAATACTGAATCCTTCCAAACCATAAGTTCTTGTACGTTGGCCATGGGAATCCGTGAATACCTTGCAAAGCCTGAGAACGAATGCACGCGGCGCTAAAGCGAGAGCCACATGTTGCAAACCACTCGCCCTTAATCCGTGAAACTCAGACGCATGTACGCGGCGCTCAAGCGAAAATTACATTTTGAAGACGACCCGCCCTCAATCCGTGAAGCTCTTGCAAGTGTTTAAAGCGATTAAATGCACGCAACGCTCAAGCGAGAATCACATTTTGAAAACCAGCCGCCCTCAATCCGTGAAGCTCTTGCAAATGATCAAAACGAATTTGCGCGGCGCTGGAGCGAGAACCACATGTTGAAAACCACCCGCCCTCAATCCGTGAAGCTCTTGCGTGTTTATGAAAAAACAAAACACAAAACAGCAACAACAACGAATTGTGCGCGGGGCTGAGGCGAGAGCCACATTTTGAAAACGACCCGCCCTCCACCTGTGAAACGGCTGTCAACGTTTAAGCTTCAGGGTCGTAAGTGCTGGGGCAGTCTCAGGCGAAACGCCCGGCCCGCCATAAAATCTGGATCCACGGTGCGACAGGGACAAGCTATGTATAAGGAAAAGGAATGGAGGAGGAGGAGGAGGAGGAGGAGGAGGAGGAGGAGGAGGAGGAGGAGGAGGAGGAGGAGGAGGAGGAGGAGGAGGAGGAGGAGGAGGAGGAGGAGGAGACAGCGGCTGGACCGCTCTGAGCTCGGCCAAAAAAAAAAAAAAAAAAAAAGAGGAGGGAGAAGGGAGGAGGGCCGGGAGGCGGGGGAATGTCTGCTGCTTGGTCTCGATCTCGGGCCTCCTGCTTGGGGACGTGGGGCGAGCTCGTCGCCACGGCAAGATTCACCTCGAGATTCTGGCTGGAACGCGCCGCGGGATAGGTCCGGGGGGTGGACCTCGGAGGGGAGGGCGACAAACGATTGCCATCCCCCCCGGGATAGTCCGCGTGCGAGGTGCTTCAACTCCCCCCTCCCCTCGGGCCCTCTCTCCTCCCTCCCTCGTCAGCCCAGCACCACTGTCATGGCCGTCCCCAGCGAGAGCCATACGGCCACTGTGCTACTGTTGCTGATGATGAGGATGATTATGATGATTATGATGATGCTGATGATGCGGATGCTGATGATGATGATGCTAGTAATGATGATGATAACACTGACGATGCTGATGCTGATTATGGTGATGATGCTGATGCTGATGATGAAGACGATGCTGATGCTGCTGATGATGATGGTGGTGGTGATGAAGATGACGATGCTGCTGATGATGCTGATGATGATGCTGATGATGATAGTGATGATGATGCGGCTGATGATGATGATGATGATGATGATGACGACGACAGCGAGGACAGCAAGATGATGATGAGGAGGCGGAGTCGGAGACGCACGAGGAGAGACATGGGGAGGAGCAGAATGAGGCGACCTAAGAGGGCTGATGGCAAGGAGGCGGAGACGAAGGAGAGAGAAGGAGAAAGAGGAGGAGGAGGAGGAGGAGGAAAAGGAGGAGGCGGAGTAGGACGACGACGACGACCCCTCCGAAGCATCTCGGAACAACCGGCGGAAGCCGGCCGCAGCCCAGCCCCCCGGCGCCCAGCGCGGCAGCGCTCGGGCGCCTTTCCACTCACGAGGATGCAGAACAGCTCGCACTCCGTCCTCTGCCTCATCACGACCTCAGGGGGGAAACCTGACCACCAGCTCCCCCCTCCTCCTCCTCCTCCTCCTCCTCCTCCTCCTCCTCCTCCTCCTCCTCCTCCTCCTTCTCCCTCCTCCTGCTCCTCCTCCTCCCTCCGCCTGCTCCACCTACGTACTCCTCCCTCCTCCTCCTCCTCTCCTCCTCTTCCTCCTCCTCCTCCTCTCCTCGTCATCCTCCTCCTCGTCCTCCTCCTCCTCTCCTGCTCCCTCCTCCTCGCCCTCCTTCTGCTTCCTCGCCCCTCGAGCACACGCGGCCCGAGGCGCCCCCATGGCGATTTGACGTTTTGGCTTCTGGATTGCCTCGCCGTCGCGTCCCAGCGCCTCGTCGCGGGTGCTTTCGGCTCGGGCGAAAGGGGGGGATAGCAAAGGGGGGGTTTGAGAATCAGCTCACGTAGCTGATTTTCCTGGCGCCTCCCGGCGCCGGGAGCGGCCATGTATCGAGGAATTGGCCCTTCGGTGAGGCCGAAACCAGCTGCATGCAGCAAATTTCGTAACCCCCCCTTTCCCAATCCCCCCCTTTCGCCCGACCCGATGCTTGCAACTACTGCACTTGGCGCCTTTGGCATCATGCTCCAATCAACCAAGGCTGAGACGAACGGTTCGTAACACGTGTGAGTCAGGCGTTTTCTTCTCTGCAACTGGTGTTGGCTGGGCCTTGGCTCCTTCCTATGCTCGGAGGGCGGCATCCGTCCCAGGTTGGAGGTCCCTGCGGGCTGTGCCCAGCAAGCCCTCCACACCTGGGCGAGCTTCAACCTTGGGGCTGCAGCGGGACGTGATGTGTTCATATGCCTGGGTCGGTTTCTTCCTGCACTGCGTGGGCGGCGTTCGTCCCAGGCTGGTGAAGGGCCCGGCGGGCTGTGCCCAATCAAACCCTCCTTGCTTGGGCGTACTTCAACTCTGGAGCTGCAGTTGGGGGCGGATTCTTGTTTGGAGGTGGTCAATTGAATTGGCTTGGTCAACGCACTCCGTTGTTCGCAAGTCTGTTTTTCAAGCGCTCCACTCGCTTACGCTCGGTGTGGCACCTGTGGAGGTGCACCACGAACCCTGGTCATTGCGCAGGCGGCGGATTTCAAATTCCCTGCGTGGCGTGGCGCGGGCGGCTGCTGTGAAATTGCTGAACGCCTTTTGTGGGTGGATTGAGGCTCGGCAGTAAGGCTCGGGTGAATCCTGTTCCCAGCGGCGTCGGGAGATGTTGCTCGTAAATTCAGGTCAGCCTGCACTCTCTACGGTAGCGTTTCGTGCGCGGTGATTGTGAAGCCTATGCGTACACATTGCGTTCCAACCTGTGCTGTACCATCCATGTTGGTTGCCAATGTTCTCGTCGCACATCGTGTCAGGGCGAGTTGCTTGTTTCCCTCCCGCCGTTCACGGAGCTGTTCCTCCCACATCGGCATGTGGTTTCGTCATTCGCTGGTGTCTCAATGTTCTGGACCAGCTGTGTGGGACTCCAGCTGTGTGTCGCCTTGGGCAACGGAACCTGCAATAACGGTGAACGCCAAGGGCGCAGGTCGGGCCGTGAAGTGTTAAGCCGTGCCGCACGGACCGCCTTTGTTTCCTACTCCGATTACTACCACTACTCCCTCCTCCTCCCTCGTCCTCCTCCTCCCAATTCCTCCCGCGTTGCATTCGCCTTCGCGTCGCGCGCACGCGCTTGACAGGCTTCCGGCAACTACAGGGATGGAGGGCCCGTGGCTCTCCAAATGTGGCTCTCGCCTTCGCGCCGCGCGCATTCTATCGATCCTCCTGCCCATCAGCTACAAGAGTGGAGGCGGGCTAAATTTCAAAATGCGGCCATGGTACAAAAACGCAACAACTACCATCTTGCTCCAAAGGTTGCCCCCCTGAGTTCCACAGCTGTTTTAACAGCTGCACGGTTGGGTGGCGGCTGCTTTTCAACATGGGGCTCACGCCTTCTGAGGGGTGTTCGTTTCCATCCTCGACGGCTTCACATTCGACCCGTGAGCCCTCCATCGGCCGCATATGCTGCACCGGGCCTCAAAAAGCCTAACTCTTTCATGTTCTAGAAAGGTCAGGCGGCCCCTGTTAAGTTTCCTTTCACACTTCCACCAACTGGGAAATGAAGTCTCGGCGAGTTGCTGTCCAGCACGTGCACGAGCGGAGGGCAGGCCCTTAGGGGCTATCGCCAGGCACTTCCTTGACCGCTGCCACACCGACGCCCAGCGCGTATCTTATCTTGAGGTCGGGCGTGCCCTCCTGCAGGCGGATTCTGGAAGAAAGAATCCAATAGTAATAGCCGAAGCAGATTCGAACATAGCCAGAGATAGTAGAAGCATCGTCCCCATAAGTATTGTTTGACTGCGTTTGAACATTCCTCCTGTAGAGGGACATGCCCGACTTAGTGCTAGCTGGAAGGGTGGAGGGCAGGGACCCGTTTGGGCGGCAGGCCCACTGGGCGCTCGCTCTCCATCGGGGGGGAGCATGCGGGCAGTGGGCCAGAATGCCGGCAGGGACCTGCGAGGAGGGAACAAAGACACCCACACACAACACACAACACACACAACACACACATACAAACACACTCACACGCAAACCATACAACACACACGGTGGCACAAACAAACACGGTGGACAAACAAAAACAGTATGTGGAGAAAAACACACACACATGGTGGAAAAAACACTGTGCTTTTGTTTCCACTGTGTGTGTGTATGTTGCGTGTCGTGTGTTTTTCCACATTGTGTGTTTTGTGTTTGTGTGTGTATGTGTGTGTGTGTGTGTGTGTTTGTGTGTGTGTGTGTTGTGTGCGTGGTCGTCCAGGACGAGAGGCTGTGCTGAAGCAGAATTGACGCATCCTGGCTTTACACACCAGAGAACATAGAACAACGCATTCCATGAGCATGCAATGTTGGAGGTCCGCGCGGACTCCCTCGGATCGGCGAGGACCCCGTCCCTGTCGCGCGGAGCGCGCCAAGGGGGGCCCAGCGCCGATCCCAGACATCAGCATGCAGCTCCGGAAGTGTATGCCTTAGGCAGAGACTGTTCATGTTCGGCCCAGCGTACGGAGACGCTTCGAAGACACCTCCCGAGGCGCCTGGGCTCCTCCCTCCTCCCCCTCCTCCTCCTCACCCTCCCTCCTCCCTCCCCTCCCTCCTCCTCCTCCTCCTCCTCCTCCTCCTCCTCCTCCACCTCCTCCTCCTCCTCCTCCTCCTCCTCCTCCTCCCCCTCCTCCCCCTCCGTCGCGCGAAGGAGGGAGGGGGGGAGGGGAGCACGCCGCGGCTCCACGGCCGCTCGCCTGCGGGCACCGCGACTCGCGCGGGCCTGTCCCACAGGCGACGGCCCTTCTCGCACAGGAGGAGGAGTAACTGGATGGGAGGAGGAGGAGGAGGACGAGGAGGAGGAGGAGGAGGAACAAGGAGGAGGAGAAGGAGGAGGAGGGGCACAAGGAGGGGAGGAGGAGGAGGAGGAGAGGAGGAGGAGAGAGGAGGAGGAGGTGGAGGAGGAGGAGGAGGGGCACAAGGAGGGGAGGAGGAGGAGGAGGAGGAGGAGGAGGAGGAGGAGGAGGAGGAGGAGGAGGAGGATTCTATAGGTTTTGGAGGAGGGGGGATGCGGAGGATGGATGCGCACGGAGGGAAGGGCGAGATGGAGCATGGGAAGCCCCAGCACTGGGACGGGGAGGAGGGAGAGGGGCCAGTGTAAGCCCAAGTGTCGTCAACGATGTTAGATTAAACCCTCCTACCAAGCTCCCTCTTCATAGGCCACTACAATAGTTCATTCCACTGGAGGAACAGCCTCGTTGAAAAACAACCGTTTCAAAAAATCCTGAAGCATGCCAAAAAATGCTCTCCGGAATCCAACGCCACGGATCAACTTGTCCGTTGCATGTTGACAATCCTGAAACGCGCCAGAGCGCAATTCCTGGGACTTCAGCACCGCGAGTGAACGTTACTGCTGCGCCCCCATAATCCTGACTCTATCCGAAACACCATTTCTAGTACGTTGATCGTGGGAGTCCGCGCAACTCTTGCAAATAAACAAACGAATGTGCGCGGCGCTAAGACGAGAGCCACATTTTGAATGCCCTCAATCCGTGAAACTCGAACGCAATTTGAAAACGAATGTACGCGGCGCTAAAGCGAGAACCACATTTTGAAAACGACTCGCCCTCAACCCGTGAAGCTCTTCCAATGTTTGAAACGCATGTACGCCGCGTCCAGGCGAGAGTTACAGGCTGAAAACGACACGCCCTCCATCTGTGAAACAATTGCCATAGTTTAAGCTTCAGGGTTATAGATGCTGCGGAAGTCTCAATTGAAACGCCCGGCCCGCCCAAACAATTGCCTCGGGGTGCGACAGGGAGAAGTTATCTACAAGGAAAAGGAATTGACGAAGAGGAGAGCCCCGCCCACCCCCCAGACCTTCCGGGGACCCCGCTCACCTCCGATGCCCTCCTCTTCGTCCTCACTCCGTCTCGCCCCTCAGAGAGAAAGAAACACGACGACAGAGCGGAGACGGAGGGCGGGTATACAATTTGAGGCGGGGCCCCCAGGATCCACCACTCCCAGAAATCGGGCCACACCCGTGCATAATGTCTCAACCTCCTACTGCCCCCTTTCGTCTTCCTTCCTCCTTCTCATCCTCCTGCATCCTCCCTCCCCCTCATTCTCCATCTTTCCTCCTCCCCTACTCCATCCTTTCTCCTACCTCCTCCATCCTGCCCCTTCCATCTCATCACTTCATCCTTCGTCCTCCTACACCCTCCTCATCCCTCCTCCTTCTCCGCCTCCTGCTGCTTCTCCTCCTCCTCCTCCTCCTCCTCCTCCTCCTCCTCCTCCTCCTCCTCCTCCTCTGTATTCTCCTCCCGCTCCTCCTCCTTCTCCTCTTTCTCACCTCGTGGGTGGGAGGAGTGGCCCAGCCGCGCGCCACCAGGATGAGGAGTGCGCGAGGAGGGGCTGCTCTCCTTCATCCCCCTGCTCCTTCTCAGAGGGGAGGAGGAATAGGAATAGAAGGAGGAGGAGGAGGACGAGGAGGAGGGAGGAGGACAAGCGGCGGAGGAGCGGCGGCCGCCGGCGGCGGCTCCGACGGCGGCCGTCTGCTGCAAAGGGGGGCGGCCTGGCCCTTGAACCACGCCACCGGCTGCAGCTCCAGCGCCAGCCTGCGGCCGCGGAGGAGGAGGAGGAGGAGGAGGAGGAGGAGGAGGAGGAGGAGGAGGAGGAGAGGAGGAGGAGGAGGAGGAGAGGAGGAGGCGGAGGAGGAGGAGGAGGAGGAGGAGGAGGAGCAGGAGGAGGAGAAGGAGGAGGAGGAGGAGGAGGAGGAGGAGGAGGAGAAGGAGGAGGAGGAGGAGGAGGGAGGAGGGAGGAGGTGCCCTCGACGGGGCGCAGCCGCCGAACGGGGGGGGGGCGGCGGCGGGGGGCAGCCGTGGCCGCCGGCGGCGGTGCACGCGCCGTGGCGTCCTCGGCGGACGGCCCCGCTCGGCGGCGAGGGGGGAGGCCCCTCGCGGAGTCGACGGTGCCGAGGGGAGCGCGCAGGGAGGGAGCGGGCTGGGCGCTGCTGGCCACGGCGGGCCCAGGCCAGAAGCAGGCTCTCCGCGGCACGGAGCTGAGGAAGGGCCCGAAGAGCAGAGCCCCCCCCCCCCCCCTTTAGCCAGGGCCCCCCCTGCTTAACCCCCCCCCCCCTTTGGCCAACAGGGAAGGGGGGGGGGGTTGCTTCGGAAGCTCCCCTCCCCCTTTTCGAGAGGGGGGGGTAGCTTGAAGCTGGGTCCCCCCTTTTCGTATTGAGTTCCCCACGGGCGCGCTCTTACATAGGTCAGCGCATTGGCTGTAAGGACGCAAGGCCCTCGGACCTTCCGAACTGGACGTCCCTGAGCGTCGAAGCTGCACGAGGAGTCGCCGAGTAAGCAAGGATGCGAGGGTACCCTTGCTGGAGCACTGCGTCCTTGCCGTGTGTTTTCACTGTGCCATGACAGCAATCTTTTCGGCAATCTTCGGCCTCTGGGGGGCCTCGCTGGGCCTCGGGGGCCGTCAGAGAGACGACTCGGCCAGGCGTTGCTGATTGGGGGGGGGGGGCAAGAAGCAGAGGGTGGGGGTGGGTGGGGGGGGGGGAAATGTCGATCTCACCTCATCTCAACTCTCATCCCCACCCTGCCATGCACTACCCGCAAGCACTGTGTTGAGCGACGGCCGAAGTGAGCACGCGCCAGTGAACGTATGAATATTCGCAGACCCTTCTCTGAAACGCCACCCCCGCTCTCCTCCTCCTCCTCCTCCTGCTCCTCCTCCTCCTCCTCATCCTCATCCTCATCGTCCTCCTCCTTCTCCTCCTCCCACTCCTTCTCCTCTCGGATCGGGCGAAAGGGGGGGATGGCAAAGGGGGGGTTTGAGAATCAGCTCACGTAGCTGATTTTCCCGGCGCCTCCCGGCGCCGGAAGCGGCCATGTATCGAGGAATGGGCCCCTCGGTGAGGCCGAAACCAGCTGCATGCAGCAAATTTCGTAACCCCCCCTTTCCCAATCCCCCCCTTTCGCCCGGCCCGATCCTCGGCCCTCCCTCCTTCTCATATTCCGTCCCCCTCTCCCGCTTCTCCGCTCTGAGGGGCAATCGAAAGAAGGACATCCGACGACAGTGTCGGTGTGTGCGAGACGCGGTTGTCGTCATCGCCGCCGTCGTCGTCGTCGTCGTCGCTGCCCCCTCCGTCTCGGTAGGACCTCCTCCTCCAGCGCGCCAGCTCCCTCCCTTTTTCACTGGGCCCCCCTCCTCGACCGCGCCAGCCAGAAAGCGGAGAACCGTTGTCCTCGAGTCGAAGAAGATGTCCTTCCCTTTGATCCCTTCCCCGCCGGGGGGGGGGGGCGGGGTTCCCGTGGGTCTGTGGGGGGGGGGGGCTGGGGGAAGGGGGGAGGGGGCCCGGGTCAGAATGTGCTCCTTCCCCGTGCCCTGTTCGAGCAGTTCCCGGCCTTATTAGCGCTGTGTCGGCAATTCCTGTCCAAGACGGTCCAGGCGGGCCCTCAAACGGGCCAAAGTCGCGCCAAGACGGCCCACGATGCCCCCGAGACAACCCTTAAAGCCCGAAAACGTCCCAAGAGGGCTCCAAGAGAACCCCAAGAGAGGGACCCAAGAGGCCAGAACTTCTGTTTGTCCTTATCCACCACCGTGCCCTGCCCCTGCGTCTCATGCAACCCCGAGCGGTACAGGGCATGTGAGCTTCGGAAGGGCACGGACCCCCGGGTTTCTCAAGCACTCGCGGGCGCTGATGGGCGCTGCCCGGGTGTGTCGCATGGGCCTCTGGGCCGCTAACCTCATGCCCGTGAGAATAAACACTAGGGGATAATAAAGTTCGGGGTTCAGGGAGAGATAATAAAAGTAGCCCAGCAGAGATAATAAAAGTAGCCCAGTAGCCCAGCAGACCCCAGTTATGTCCGCCCACCAGGGCCCCAAATCGGGCGAAGATGGCCCCAAGACGGTCCAAGAGGGCCCCGAGTCGGCGCGCGATCGGTCCAAGACGCCCAAGGTGGCCCCGAGACTGCCCAAGAAGCCCTCGAGGCGCCCAGGGAGAGACCCAAGAGCCTCCCCAAGAGGGCCCCGCAAGGCCAACCAACATCGGCGATTTTCTGGAAATGAATTCTTCAATGCTTGTGGAACCCTGGGCTTTTCGAGCTTCCGACTCTCCAAGCCGGCCCAAGAGGCCCCGAAGACCGCCCCAAGACGGCCCACACGCCCCGAAAAGGGCCCCCAGACGGCCCAAGAATGCTCCAAGACGGCCCCAGAGGCACCCAAGACGGCCCAAGAGAGCTCAAGGAAAACCTCAAGAAGGGCCCAAGAGGGAACACAAACCGACAATCCGAGTCTTCCGCCCCAGAAGGCCCCCAGGAGGCCCAGAGGCCCCCCAAATGCTCCAGGAGGCACCCGAATGGCCCCCAAGACGTCCCAAGAGGCTCCAAAACAGCCCCCAAGAGGTTTTCAAAACGGCCCCCAAGAGGCCTCCCACAACATCCAAGCGAACATCTTCGAGGTGCATGACCCACAATCCATGCACGGTGGCGGGATGGGCCGGAGTGCATTCGATCCGCCGCCCCCTGCTGATCTATCTCAGGGGTGCCCGGCCGATGGTTTTTGGTTCTTTTTGAGATCCCCGCTTGGGACTTCGGCCCAGAGCGCCGGCCACCCCGCCAGCTGCTCCCGTCTCTGCTGCAAGCGTTTTTCCTGCTCCAGATGGCTCCAAGATGGCCAAGGATAGTCTCCAAGACGGCCAAGATGGCCTCCAAGTTCGCCCAAAATGGTCCACGATGGCCTCCAAGACGGCCCAAGAAGCCTCCAAGACGGCTCAAGACGGAGCTAGAGACCCCAAACAGGCCTCTGAGATGGCCCAAGAGGCCTGAAAGAGGTCCTCCAGCAGGGCCAGAAGAGGCCCAAATCATTGATCATTGATTTGCCATCGGTTTCAAAAACTTATGGCTTTCCCTCGGTTCGTTATGCCGAAGGCCCAACACGGCCCAAGAGCATCCTCAAGATCGCCCCTAGAGCGCCCAAGAGACCTCCATGATGACCCCGAGACGGCCCCAAAAGCCCCCAAGACTGTCCAGAGGGGGGCCCAACACGGTCAAAGAGGCGCCCACGACGCCCAAGATATCTTCCAAGACGGCCCCGAAGCGCCCCAAAAGGGCCCAAAGACGGTCCAGAGAGGCCCCCAAGACGGCTTACGACGGCGTTTCGAGGTCCAGGAACGCTTTCAAACGGCCAGAGGCCCCGAACAAACCCCGGAAGACCCCGAAGAGGCCCCCAAGAGGCTCCCAGAAATACCCAAGGAGAGTCCAAGATTGCCCCAAGAGGCTCCCAGGAAGTCCGCCGACCCTTTGTGTCTCCTCCTCCTCCTCCTCCTCCTCCTCCTCCTCCTCCTCCTCCTCCTCCTCCTCCTCTCCCTCCTCCTCCTGCCCCCTTTTTGCCTTATTATCCTCATCATCCTCTTCTTCACGTTTTCCCCGAAGGCTTTCAACGACGGTTTTCAGTTAGCCCGATGGCTTGGCAAAGCTCTAGCACGAATTTCGGCCACATAGGCGCTTCCAGGAGGGCAGGGACCGGCGGCGCTTCGCCGCAAACGTTTTCGCAGGGAAAACTGATGGGCGGCGGGTACGTAGGCAGTCTGCGAGGCTCTGGAAAAAGCCCCCCGCAGGCGCATGATTTTCACAAATTACACAAAGAGCTCGCCGCAGCCGCCGATTTCTCGTTAAACCGTTGTGGGTGGGTCGCAGGTGGTTGTGGGTGGGTCGCGGGCGGGTTGCGAGCTGGGTGGCGATTGGGTCGCGGGTGTGTCGCGGGTGGGTCGCGGGTGGGTCGCGGGCGGGTTGCGGAGTGGTTCCCGGGGTGGCGGGCGCGTCGCGGGTGGGTCGCGGGTGGGTCGCGGGCGAGGGGCGGGCAGGTCGCAAGTGGGTTGCGGGCCGCGTCGCGGGGGGGGCGGCGACAACGACGACGCAACGCAACGCAACGCACCGCGCCGGGCCGCAACGCAACGCAACGCCAACAACAACAACAACAACAACAACAAGAACAATAACAATAACAATAACAACAACAACAACAACAACAACAACAACAATCAGTTTATCATCATACGCCACGCTTCCACATGTCACGCGCATCCTTCTGGATACCACACCCCATCATGGGGGATTTCTCTGGCGCGCGGGGTCCGATATTCCCTCGCCCAGATCTCCCGCCCAAGCAGGTATTGCTACCACCTCTGCCGAAAAAACTTCGACATCCACAGCTTGGACGGCACATCGCCATCGCAATCGCCTTGCGCGCGCCCCGCGTCTCGGAGGAGGAAGAGGACAAGGAGGGGAGGGACAATGAGGGATCAAGGAGCCCGTCCGCCGAAGGCCGAGGGCCCCATGGAGTCACCCCAAACGATGGGCGCACCTCCGAACAGCATTAAGGTACCCTTCCGAGGACGAGGTGGTTCTTACTCATCGCTCGAACTGGTACGCCGCCATCCTGCGGCTTCGGCGCGTGACCCTGAACGTTCGCGCCCCCATGCGCTGCCGCTCCCATGCCCGCATCCTCCACCTGCCCCTTCCACGCCCTCTCAAGGAATCCCTGCTGTCAATCCTTCGGCCCTCGATCCTTGGAGTCACTGGAAGTCATCCGTCCTCCTTCTCCTCCTCCTCCTCCACATTATCCATGCTCTCCAAAAGTGAAAATTATTGAAAACTTGATGTTCGACATGGGCTCTCGGAGGCCCCCTACAGGCGATGCCGAAACGAAGGCCCCTGTCTTGAGGAAAAGGCGGGACAGTATCAAGCGGGGGCGACGAGGGAGGACGGAAGGGGAAGGGAGGAGGGAGGAGGGAGGCAGGAGGAGGGAAGAGACAAGGGGAACGAAAAGGGAGAGGAGGGAGGATGGAGGGAGGAAAGAGGGACGGGAGAGGGAGGGAGGAGGGAGAAGAGGGGATGAATGAGGAAGAGGGAGGAACAGGAGGGAGGGGGGGAGGAAAGAGGCGGAGGAGGAGGGGGAGGTGGAGAAGGAGGAGGAGGAGGAAGAGGAGAACGAGGAGCTTTCTTTCAGGGCTTTCCGCCTCTCGCAGGTGCGAGTCTGGCCCCGCGCACCCGCGCGCGGGGCTCCGCTCAAGGGCCGCGGGCCTGGGCCCCGCCCTTTCTCCGAACGCGTCTGGCGGAGGCGCTCGGAGCCGTCGACTGGGGCCGCGCCCTGAGGCCGCCCTTTCTCCGCGCGCATCTTGCGGAGGCGCGCGGAGCCGTGGCATGCCGACTTGGCGAGCTGCGGCCTCAGCAGGTGGGAGCGGGCCCTCGCGCGCGGGCGCGCGGGCCCTCGGGGTCGGCCTCCCTCTCGCCGTCGGGATTGCCGTAGTGGTCCGCGTCGTCGTAGTGCCCGTGCCCTCTTCGAGGGCCACCCCCGACGTGGGGGTGCCCGAGGGTGGGCCTCCTCGACCCGCTCCAGCTTCAGGTGCGTGGTGCGATAGGTGAGCAGGCCGAGGGTCTTCGCCAGCCTGGAGGAGTGGTGCCTCGTCCTCCTCAATGGCGTGAGATCTTCGTAGCTGCATCTTGATGACCTGCTGCAGGAGGGTGTACGTGTCGGGGAGCTGAGGTCGGCTTCTCCTTCTGCTGGTTGTACTCGCTGCCGCCACTCGTGTTCTGCGTCTGGCCGTAGGACTGGCACTCTGAGTCGCGCATGTGCCCAACCCCGAGGAGCGGGCCAGTTGGGCATTCGTACTTTGTCCAGGGCCGCGCCCTGAGGCCGCCCTTACTCCGCGCGCGTCTTGCGGAGGCGCGCGGAGCCGTGGTTCACCTTCTGGTCGTGCTTCTGATTCCACTGGAGGGGGCGGGCCCGCGCGTGTCGGCGCGTGGGCCCTCGGGGTCGGACCTGCTCTCGTCGTCGGGCTGGCCGAACGGGTTCGCGTCGTCGTCGCGCCCGAGCTCTCTGCAAAGGTCTCCCCTGATGTGTGGGTGCCCGAGGGTGCTTCTCCTCTGTTTGCTCCAACTTCAGGTTCTGGAGGGTGAGCAGGCCGCGGGTCTTCATCTGCTCGGAGGAGCGGCGCTTCATCCTCCTCGATGGCGCGGGTACCTCGTATTTGCATCATGATAGCCTGCTGCAGGAGCGCTCTCGTGTCGGGGGTTTGAGTACGGCTTCTCCTTCTTCTGGTTACTGTCTCCGCTGCCGCTCGTGAACTGTGACTGGTCGTTGTGTTCTGACTCCCCAGGTTGTCGATACCCTCTACCCTCGATGGCCCTTGGGCTGCGGGCGAGCAGTGCGTGCCACCTGGGGCAGATCCAGCGGCATGGCGACGGGTGAGCATCTGAGGTGCCGCGTTCTGACTCCCCAGGTGGCCGGCACCCTCAACCCTCAACGGCCTTTCGGCTGCTGGCGAGCAGTGCGTGCCACCTGGGGCAGATCCAGCATCGTGGCGACGTATATGCGTCTGCGATGCTGGACTGGTACTCTGCGTCGCACTTGTGCCCAAGCCCGAGGAGCGGGCCAGTTGGGCATGCTCGATATCTGTATCTCGATCATCCACAGTCTCCTCTGTCTTCTCCTCCGCTGCCTTCTTGAGCCAGTTCACTGAAAGTAACAACTGCCACGGCCAGGTAAGGTCCCGCTCACATTGGTTGAGGAGGCTGATCAGAGTCTGCTTCCCTGCGGTGGGTAGTCTTCTCAGGACCGTCGGGCATATCATGTCCACTCCCTTTCCCTTGTCGGGTTCGCATTTCGAGCACCTGATCAGGTCCTCGATGGTCCAGGGGTCGTGTTCATCGTCTTCTCGCGCAGCTCGTCTGAGTTCTTTCAAATATCCTTCGCGTGACGTATGTGGTACATCTTCGCATTCCCATATCTTTTGAAAATCAACAGCTTTCTGGTCGATCATATCCTTCGGGCTGCATACGGTGCCGTATTCAGTATGTATATCATGCTCATGTCGGGGTGGCGGCTTAGTGATGCGATGCAGTACTCCGATGGTCTTCTCTGCTTGCGCCAACCCTAGACTGTACTGCTTGCTGCTGTCCCGCATGTCTTGCTTGAGTGGTATCGTTTCAAGCGCTGCCATCCTATCTGCCCATATCTGCTGGTGGCGCATGGCAGTGTGCGAGGCCCCCTTTCCCAACTGGTGGCAGTCCTTCCCGAACGCGGCGTCGTCCTGCGCTGGCGAGTGCTTCCTGCTGTTGTAGGCCTCGTCCGCGTTCTTGTAGTTTGACCAGGGTGCTCAGCACTGTGTCGGCCCTGTTCCACCAGTCTGTGCGATGTGCGGCGTAACGTGCTCGTCGGTCTCCTTTCTCTTTCAGCGGCGCTGTCTTGTATTCGTATGGGTGCCCACGTCCGCAAAATACTGCTCTGTCTGCCAAATCCACTTTGTAAGCCATGCAATAGAATTTCTCCAGAGTGCCGATGAACTGGTGGTATTGTCGCCCTAGTCGTTCAGCACCGTTCGGGTCGGTCTTGTATGCTGCACTCTGCTTTATGTACTCGTGGGCTGTGTCAGTCGACTCCAAGGCTTGTGGTTGCGCTGCCACCTCCCAAGTATCGTCCATGATTGTGGTGTTCACCCCTGCTGCTTTGTCCGCGACCCGCTGCTCCATCGTCTGTGAGGTAGTCCTGTGGGTTTCCTTCGACAGGTCCGACGAGTTGGTCGTGGGTGCATTTGGGTCGTGCATGGTCTCATCCGTGCTCTCCGCCTTTTGAGTAGTATCCTTCGCCTCTGGTGTGTCCCAAGCCCCTTCGGCATCCTCGGCCATGAGTATGTTGCTGTCCGTGCTGCAAAGGTTCGCATCCAGGTCGTCGAAGGGGTCTATGTCCTCGATGTCCATTTGTGTGACTTGTCTTGGGACGGGTCCGCTGGCCTCGACGCCTGCGATCGCCCCAGTCTGGTTTCTCTTACATCCGTCTGGTCCAATGGCTTCCCATCTCACCGTGCCGGTCTCGGCGGCCACGTCATCGGAGAGGTTGTCAGATTCGTCCAGGACTGGTATCGCTGCTTTCTTCTTCTTCTTTGCTGCTTTGCTGTTGGGGTTGGTCTTCTTCGGCAACTTGGGGTGGGGGGATGCTTTCGGCATACATAATCTTCTGCATTCGTTCACCTGCGCTGCTGCCTTTATTGTAATAACCAGCCCCACATGTGGTTTCCAAGGTACATCGTGAACAGCGTGTATACCTCGAACAAGTCTCTGGCCTCCAGGGTTGACCAGGGCGTAGTCTATGTTCGAGGGGGTCGCGTCACCTAAGAAGGACGTGTTCTGGCCCTCTGGCAATTGGACCACGCCCGTTGCGCCCAGTGCCGTCGGCCACCCTGTCTTCTCAAGTGCGTCGAACTCGCAATTAAAGCCGCCGCAGATGATCCACGGCATGGAGGTAGTATGGAGGAATGCCGCGAGCGAGGTCAACTTCCTGGCGTTTACCCCGTCGACGAGGGAGGCGTTCGGGTCCAAGTAGAGGGAGATGATGAGCAGCGAGGTGCCCTTCAAATGGAGCGTGACTGGCGTCCAGTCGATCATATCCATGTCGCACGGCCCTTGGTGAGTAGTCACACTCGAGGTCGTGTCTGCCCGTGCCTTGTGGCGGAAAGAGGTAGCCTTCAGGTGGCCCTTGGTGATGACAGCTGTGCCACCGTGGGACCCCTTCAGGCTCTTCTCGCTCTGCCTGGCTTCCGTGAAAACTGCTGAGAACCCAGATTTCTGCAGCTCGTATTCCACGCCATTGAGTTGTGCCTGTGCCAAGTGTGTTCCCTGTAGCGCATAAGCATCATAAGGTTGTTGAAGCCCGTCGCGTCGGATCCAACTCTTGGCCGTAGGTCCCCACGTTGATATGTTGGCGAAAAAGATCGTGCGGTCCAGGGGCTCGGCGTCGCCAACGGGTCGCCTGCCCCTCCGCGGTGGGCCCTAGTGCTGGCCTGAGCCAGCGCTTGCCCCTCCGCTGCCGCCAGCTGCCTCCTCCGCCTTCCTGCGCTGCTCCAGGTAGGCGTCTGCTCCGTCGACGAGGATGTCGTCGGGCTCGCCTGCAGGTGTGGGTGCTGCTGGTGCTGGGGCCGCTGCTGGAGCTGCATGCGTCTCCTTCGCTGTTTCACCTGAGCCCGCCTTCCGCTTCTTGTAGGACTGGGTGATCGTGGTGCGCTCCTGCTGTGCTTTGTCTTTCGCCTGCTGCAAGTGGTCTTTCAGCTGGCCCCTGAAGGTTGATGCCGTCTGCCGTAGATGCTCCAGGACTTGCTTCTTCGCTAATTCCACTTGCCGCTTTCCCTCTTCATCCATGTCCTCGTCGTACTGGAAGTGAGCCTCGACCTCGGCGATCTCGATCTCCGATGGCTGGATCATCTCCGTGTCTGCGTTCAGCAGCTGGTCGAAGATGCTCTTCGGCTTCTCCTTGCCCTCCTGCTGGGTCATCTCTATTTCCTTATCCGCGTTCAGGACGTCGTCCGCTCTGGCCGTGAGCCACTCTGTTGCCTTCTTCGCCTTCTCGTCCGCTGACTGCTTTGCATCGAACGCCCATTTGTACCTTTTGTTCGCGTCCTCGAGTTTCCTTGCTGCTTCTGCCAACCGTAGTGCTCGGGACTTGGGAACTTGTGCTGGGGAACTCGCCGCTGCTTGGAGTGCCGTGGCCACACTCGTAAGCTGCTTGGCGATGCCGTCTTTGTTGTCGAACTGGAGGGTGTCCAGGGAGCTCGTCATCGTCTGCAAGGCCGTGGCGATCTGCGCGAAGCCCTGTTGGTCGGAGCCCGTGGCACCGTCAGATCGGTACTGCTTGTCTTTGTCCTTATCCTTGCCCTTGCCCTTGCCCTTGCCAGCGTTGCCGTCGCCCTTCGTCAAATCTCCTTTGGGCTTAGCAACTCGGCAGCCGCAGGAGCACCAGTAGTCGCGCGACTCCATCTGCGATATCCACCACCACATCTTGCAATGCTTGCACGTCGTCCACTGTGTCGGTGCCGTGCTGCCGTGGTGGAGGTTCAGGAGGAGGCGGGCGTTCACCAGCTGGAGATCCTGTCGTGCCTGGCTCCTGCGCCTGCGGTGGCGCCTGTGCCAGGCAGGGGAGCGTGACCTCGTGGGTCCGCTCGGGCAGCGCGCCGTCGGCGCTGGGGGCTCTGCAATGGCACGGGCCGCGGCGGCCGCGGGGCAAAATGCTGCGGCGTCGCGCGGCCCGCTGCGGAGCCACCTAAGAGGAAAACGAGGAGGAGGAGGAAAAGGAGGAGGAGGAGGAGGAGGAGGGAGAAGGAGGACGAGGAGGAGGACAAGGAGGAGGAGGAGGAGAGGGAGGAGAAGGGGGAAGGAGGAGGAGGAGGGATGGAAGAGGGACGGAGGAGGGAGGAGGGAGGAGAAGGAAGAGGAGGAGGAGGAGGAGGGCGAGGAGGAGGAGGAGGAGGAGGGGGAGGAGGAGGACGAGGAGGAGGAGGAGGACAAAAGGGCGACAGTCCAGCGTAAAACGGGAGGAAGTCTCGGGCGGTAGCGCTGGTATTGCGGTGACGGGGGCTGTCGGCGGCGAGGAAGTCTCGAGCGGGAGCGTTGTTGCTGGGGGCGGCGCCGATGAGAGGAAGAGTAGCGCGCCTGTCCAAGGTAAAACGGGAGGAAGTCTCGAGCGGGAGCGCTGGTTTTGTTGAGACGGCTGCTTTCGGCGGCGAGCCAGAGCACTGGCCCTGAGTAAAAAAGGAGGAAGTCTCGAACGGGAGCGTTGTTGTTGTTGGGGGGCCGGTTTTGGCGGTCCCCCAAACTGCTTGAGAGTGAACCTCATTTTCAATGACAATGCAGCCGGCGCCTCGGCGAGAGCGCCAGGGCGCCTGTACGGGGTCCAGCAATAATACTTGTTTAGTAATTAACAGTCAACAGCAATCATATAAGACTGTTCGTTCCTGTCTGCTCACGTGCCAATCAACACGTATATCCCAAACCCTCGGTGCCCGCCCACGTCGTCTTCGACTGGACCCCCTTGGGGGTATATCTTCCTTACCTGCCACGCGCATGCAGTGCAGCCACTAAAAAAGAAGAGGAGAAAACGGGCGGAAGGGGGATGGAGAAGAATGGAGCACGAGAGAAACTAGCAGTAGGGGGGCAAGAAACAGAAAACAAGTGGTAGAACCAGACGGGCAGATCGGGTGGGCAGACCCATAGCGGGCAGGTCGGGAAGGCGGGCCCAGGCGACCAGGTCGAGCAGGCGGGTTGCTGAAGCGTGGGTCCTGCATGAATCGCAAGGAAATCTCGAGCGATAGCGCGATTCCCAAGTAAATCGCGGGCAAAGCCGATGCGAGAGCGTGATTCCTGAGCGCCGAGGGCGCATCGTCTGAATACATTGCGAGGAAGTCCCACGCGAGAGCGCGATTCGTATAAAAGTTGTGATGTATTCCCGCGCGAGAGCGCGATTTGGGAATAAATTGTGAGGCAATATCAGGCGGGAGCCGCTGCTGTTGCAAAACGGCGGTCAGGGGCACAGTTTGAGCCTAGTGACATTACCTGTGTTTTGTTTGTTTGCTTTTTTTGTAAAGAAACAACCAGACGCGAGCGTCGGGGGAAGCTCTTCACTTGAACAAAATACAATGGTCACTGGAGGGGGTATCAACAATGTCGATCTTCATTAGTGAGGGTTCAACAGCGACAGTACTTACAACAGCTACAGCAACATCAGCGGCAACAACAACCATCAGTTTAAACTATGGTTCGCTCTTATATGTTCGCGTGCCATTCCACACGTATATCCCAAACCCTCGATACCCGCCCTCTTCGTCTTCGATCGTGCCCCCTGAGGGGTATATCTTTATTACCTGCAACGTGTATTTCGTGCAGCCCCTAAGGCACGGGAAGAGAGGACGGATGCAAGCAAGGGATAAAGGGCAGGCAGGTTGCTGAAGCGTGCGTCCTGCGTGAATCGCGAGGAAGTCTCGAGCGAGAGCGCGATTCTCAAATACATCCTAAGGGCATCCACAGCGAAAGCGTGGTTCCTGAGTGTCAAAAGCGCGGCGTTTGAATAAGTTGTGAGAGGTCCCACGCGAGAACGCCATCCCTGCATACATTATGAGGTTGTTCAGCGCGAGAGCGCGATTTGGGAATACATTGTGAGAGCGTATCAGGCGGGAGCCGGTATTGTTAAACTCGGGGCAAAAGGGCACAGTTTGGTGACTCCTCAATTTCCCGTGCAAAAAACGGGTGCGAAACCTGGGAGAAGCATTGAAATTGGAACATACTATTGTTTCTGGGCAGGCGGGAACAACATTACTCAACAACATCAACAACAACAACAAGCATAATCCACGCCGCGGAGTCCCACTTCAGCCAAGCAGCCAAGCACTCAGAGACCGTGAATGACCGTTCGGCCACCTCACTCTGATATATATATATATACGTATTTAGACGTATATACACAAATATAAACATACATATATATATATATATATATATATATATATATATAGATGCGTATATATATATATATATATGTTTATACGTGTATGTATAAGCATACAGAGATGAATCTGTTTATCAACACACACACACACATATGTTTCTCGCGTTCTCGCCTTTTCGGGCTTCTGGCGCTCCAAGACGGCCCAGGAAGTCCCGACGATCGTCCAAAGACGGCCCCAAAGGCCTCCAACAAGGCCCCAAAGCGGCCCAAGACGGAACCAAATCGGCCCAAACTGCCCCCAAGACGGCCCAAGATGTCCCCAAGAGGCTCCCAAGAGGGGGAACACCAACCGAGCTTTCACGGCTTCCACCCCAAGAGGCCCTCAGGAGGCCCCAAGAAACGCCCAAGACGCCCCAAAGGGGCACCCGAGAGGCCCAAGAGAGCCCCAACAGCACCCCAGAGAGGGCCCCAAGATCCCAAAGCGTCGTCGTCGTCGTCCTCCAGGGTCGGCGGCACTGGCCGTAAAGCCTTCGCAATAGGGGAGGGGAGGAAAGGAAATGGGAGGGGAAGGGATGGGGTAGAGTCATCTCGCTGCCGTATGGAACGCTGAGTCAGGGACGAAGGGGCGTGGCTGGCCACGTCTAGCCTCGGGCACGACAGGTTCCGGGACCTGGGTCTAACGAGCGGCCAGAAAACCAAAGTCCCCCGTGAGACCTGAGCGGCGTGACTGGAGGGGGATGGAACTGGAGGCGAATGAGGAAGAAGGCCAGGGGGCTGGAAGATGCCTCTCGGCTTCTCCAAAGTATCTAAGCGGCCTAAGAAGTCCCCCTGCAACCCTCGACAACCTGAACCTCAAAAGGTTAGCCAGCGTGGACCACAAACAGACATGTCAATCTATGTGGCGCAATCTAGGCGGTGCACTCAATGACGTGGTGCAACCTAGGTGGTGCAGCCCATGTGGTGCAATCTATAAGGTGCGAAGCAGCGCAAAGAAATGACAAACAGCGCAGAGAGATGGAAAGAGATGGAGCGCGATGCAGTGCAATGCAGACCCATGCAAAGCAAAGCAGTGCTAGACAATGCTAAACAGAGCCAAGCAAAGGGGGAGGGGGGGACGCGGCGGCGGCGACGGGCGAGGCGACGGACGAGCAACGGGGCCGCCCGGGGCGGTAAACGGGCCCAGTGGTGCGGCGACGGACGGAAACACGGGGCCGCCAGCGCTTCACACGGGCCTCGTTCCGTAGAACGGAAGGAGGAACCCCTCAGTTAGGGGGCCACATGTGAACCCTACCCCTACCCCCCAAGATTTCTGAGGGGGAGGGTGGGGTTCACTTCGTTCGGGAGCTCCCGAGCGAAGTGAACCCCACCCTCCCCCTCAGAAATCGTGGGGGGTAGGGGTAGGGTTCACCTGTGGCCCCCTATCAGTGCAAGCACCGTTTGGGGAAAGTGACTGACGCGCCCCTTCAGCGCCATACCCCTCTTTGCCCTCGGAATGCCGCCCCCTTCAGTGTCGAAGCAGGGCGAGGCACGGTCTGGGCGGGTGCGGCGCGGACGCTCCACGATGACCGACGTTGGAAATGGGGGTGCCAAGAGATGCTTCGCATGCAGTGCCACCCAGCCCACAATATCAAACATTCAAGCACACGGGGTAACACACTTCTGGATATGATGTTGTCGAGGGTAATGGGCGGGAGAGCCGATTCTGTGGCTCTCCAACGGCCAACGAGCGAACGCCTGCGACCAACCGGAAGGTGAAGAGACAGAGGACAGTTTGGGTCTGCCCGGGCACGTCCACATCCGCAAGCGCACGGGAGGAAAAGGAGATGATGTCCCCCTCCTCCTGTCCCGTCCACACGTGGTGGGTTCTTGAACCCCTGAGCCCCCAACAATCTCCGTTTCTTGGGGGCTGGCACGTATCACTTCCGCCGCCACCGCTGCCCTTCCACGTCCGCGGGGTCGCCCACGTCTCGATTCCGCCGCCTTCCGCCGGCCCTTCGGCGCCTTTCCGCTGAGAAAAACACCTCCTCTGGCCATCGAAGGCGATGCCTTTTCTGGAACGCCCCAAGTCTCCTCTCAGGCGGGTGGGGACGAGTGGGGATCAAGGCTCAGGCTGCACGCGCAACCCCCCGATGGGCCGAGCCTCTGACGGGCGACCGAGAGAGAATCTCGCCGCTCCATGGCCGGATCGCGCCGAACTCGGACACCCGACGCCGTCCCCTCTTCTCTTCGCAGCGTGGATCCCCAGAAACCTCGACCCTTTCCGAGGGACCGGCTGTCCATCCCGAGCACTTGCCCGACGGCCCCGGAGCCCCGCGGGGGCTCGAGGATGCCCTGGGAGGCAGCTGCGGGGAGGTTTTCGTCGGGAGGACTCGGGAGAATGGGGCCCCACTATTGGGGGGCCGCTGCGGCGGATGCGGCCGCGGATCAAGCGGGATGAAGCCAGATTGGCCAGAAAAAGCGGGACCGAGCCAGATTCGGCGGGATGGAACCGGATGAAGCGGGATTAAGCCGGATTCAACGGGATGAAACCAGATTCGGCGGGACCAAGCCAGGCAAGGCGGGATGAAGCCGGATTCAGCGGGATTGAGCCAGTTTACAAAAAGGAACCGAGCAAGATTTCGGACCAGGGCAGAATCAGGAGGAGGAGGAGGAGGAGGAGGAGAAGGAGGAGGAGGAGGAGGAGGAGGAGGAAGAACCTTGACCTCCCAGGAGTTGCCCTCCGAAGAGGCCGCACGCGGCCGAAGGCATCCCGCCGAGAGGGACTGCCACGACGCGGCGGCCCCGCGCACAAGCAAAAGGGCGCCTGTCGACAAACTGCTGGGAGAACCTGTCGAGGAAGCCCAGGGAGCGCAGGCCCTGAAGGGCTGGCACAACCATGCGCCGCCGCTGCTGGTCGAGGCGTGCACGCACGCGTCTGTTCCTCGCCGAGAGGCCCTCAAGCTTCCGCTGCGTGCGCTGAGGAGCCCTGCGGCAAGATCACGGCTATTGGAACAGGGGCTGGCCGCCCCAGTATTCCTTGGGCCTGCCAGGGAATAGTACTAGACCGACTATTCTAATAGCACAGGGCCTGTTCTTAGAACATGAAGCTGGTGTCTCAACACAGGCCTGTGTCAGCCAGACATGTTCTAGTACTATCAATCCTGTTTACAAGCCGCGCGTTAGCCATCGGAGACCCCAAACAGTAAATTATTACACTGCGGAGGTGGAAG